TGCATTTATGCTTTAATGTATACAGAACCATTTTGGACAGTGTGACAATGTTTATTTTCCCCCTTTAATAGACAACTTTCACATTTGAGAACATGTAGCTAGACACAAGATGTTTGAGACATATGAGTGATTGATAATGAAAACATCTCTGAACTTTGCTGTAATATGTTACCTTTTTAAAATTTTTGAGGAACACACTATTCCAATTATATAGATAGACTTACTAGTAAGGAATGGTATATTTTCAGAGTGTTGCAGATATTTTGTATGTCCTGAGGCTTTTTTATTTTGTCGTAAAAGTTGCATTTGACAGGTACAGTTCATATTCTTGTATATGGAACACAGGAGCTATGTCCCAAGTTTTTGACAGCTGATCTCTTAGAGATGGGGGATCCTACCTCTGAGCTGTATCCTAAGACCTTTTTTAATGTATTATTTTGAGACAGGGTCTTGTTAACTTGTCCAGACTGTTTTTAAACTTGAATTTCCTACCTCATCTTCCCAAGTAGGTGAGGTTATAGCCATTGTATTGTTTCTTCTTAACGTAACTAGGTTAGGACTTGATACTTAATCTCTTACTGCCTTTGCTGTAATAAAAATAGCCCTCATTTTAAATATTGAGCTTTCATTGATACATATTTTAGTCTACTGATAGATCCAGGTAATGTGATAATCACAGAATTACATTCATGAAATATATCCCTGTGTTTAAGATGTTTCTCTTGTGAACAGTGTAAGATATATAAATAGGAAATTTTGATCTTGTGACTTACGCTATAAAAGAAATAATGACTTGAGGACAGGGAGATAGCTCAGCAGCATAAGTGCCTGCCTGGCAAGCACAGGATCCTGAGTTCAATTCCTAATACCAAGAAAGGAAGGAAAAAAGAGTGACTTGAAATGGTAGTGACATATGGTTAGAGTATATGCTTTGATCAAGAAAAGATTTTTAGAAGTTAACTTTTAACCTAAGAATCGGTAACAATACAACAGAATTCTGTGATCATAAAAAGCTAGGGAGAAAATTAAGAAGCTCTTTGGCGGGGGCACCCTCTTTAGTTTTTTTTGAACTTTTTTTTTTTTTTTTTTTTTTTAGTTTTTTTTAATCTGGCTATGGTGAATAACAATACAACAAACATATGAGTGCAGATATTTTTCAAGATCCTGATTTCATTTCCTTTAGCTATAGACTTGGGGGTAGGAACATGGGATCATAAGGTAGTTCTATTTTTAATTTTTTTTGAGGAACTTTTATACTGCTTTCCACTGATGGCTGTAGCAATTCGCACTTCCCCCAGCAGTGCACAAGGGTTCTCTTTCCTCCCCATCCTTGTGATCATGTTCCTGAACATACTTTAATCCTTGCAGCAAAGAACTTTTTTTTTTTTTTAAATGAGACAGATTGTCACTGTGTAGTTCAGGTTGACCTGGACTCAGTAGCCCAGGCCAGTCTGAAACTCATGGTGATCCTCCTGCGTCAGCCTCCCTAGTGCTGAGATTACAGACATGTACCACCACACCCAGCTATAACTACTATGCATCGCACGCGCACCCACCCACCCAGGATAGGACAGGGCTTTGCTCAACCTGGTTAGACTCATATTTATCACCTTTCAAAAGAAGTACTCGTTGGCCCTTTTTTTTTTTTTTTTTTATGAGTTTCCTCATTAGTTATTACCATTTTTCCCTTCTACTTTTTTTTTTTCTTTTTTGTATTTAGTACACGGTCTACAGAGAGTCTAGAGGGTCTCACTTCATAGATTGGACTCATAGTGATTCTCCAGTGTTCAGCCACCCAACCACTGGGATTACAGGTGTGTACCACCACACCCAGTCTCAATTGCTGTCTCAGGGTACCACAGGGGCAGGCCTGGCACGGCATCCCAGGAATCAAACCTCTGCCCTATGCCTAAGCAGGCACTTTAGTCCACTGAGCTATCTGGCCGACCCTTTCCCTTATTAAAATTTTACATGATATTATGAGAATTTCCATGGAAATATCAACTATTGAGTAATACATACAGTCTACCAAAAAATGTATCAGGAAAAGAAAAAACTTAGTATTTTAATACTAAATTTATTGAGACATTAATACAAGTTACTTTTGGATTCTGCAGTTACACGGGGTGCTCAAAGTGATGGCCATTAGCTTCCAGACATTTATTAGTATGATGAACTGTTGAAATATCTATACATTTTTTGTGGTCTCTGTATATATTCTAGTAGTCCATACTGGTTTATGGAGGGGGGCAGTTATGTCTGAAAATGGAAGTTTTTGCATAGATAAAAAGATACAGCTTAGGTAAAAGATATTCTGAAAACTATGAGGTAAATTTTCTTTGCTCTGGTGATGTTAAGGGATCCTAACACCATTCCTGGGATCAGTGATTCTTTTTTTTTTTTTTCTGGGCAGAACCGGGGATTGAATTCGGGTCCTTGCGCTTGCCAGGGAAGCACTTATTCTACTGAGTCATCTCCCCGGCCCCCTCAGTGATTCTTAAGATTCACAAAATCCAGTCTGTAGTCATATTATAGGGGCTCTGAGCGCTAATAAAAAGATACAGAGCACATTCGGCAGAGGAAAAAAATGGAGCACAGTAGAGTAATCCAGGGGCAGAATTTCAAAGATTTCACAATAGCCTGGAATTGAAGAATGCCCTTCATTCTTCCAGCAGCAAATTCTGGAGACTCAAGAAATGCTGAAGCTCAGGGCTGTGTTTACTTTGGTTCTGGCTAGCTTTATAGGTATGCTGTACCTAGTACATTCTAAAAGTTTAGACTCTCGGTTAGTGTTAGGTATGAACCCACGCAATTTACCAGACCAGGCATTCTGACACGAGTAGATTTATTGGGGGCATCAAGCAGGCTGGCTGTCTAGCGGACCAAGACAGCAGTGAATAAAGGGGGGACAGGAGACTTTATAGAATCTTTTAGGGAGAGTGATTCTGACTGGAAAGCTGAGGGAGAGCTAATGTTGGCAGGGCTACCTGGCCTGTGGGGGATCTTTACTGTTAACAAAGGAGAGTTTTGTGGTTGCTTGCCCAGGTCAAAGTCAGGTGGACCTGTTCTGGGTTTTGGGTTTGGCTCTGCATGGGGCCAGGGGCAGAGTGTTTGGGGGTAGGGCACCTGGGAAACCAAGAGGGAGAGTGTTTGGGGCAAGATGCCTGGGCAACTGAATCCTGACCTATCAGTTAGAAAGTTTCAGCATAAGCCGTACTACATATGTTAATAACTTGAGTTCAGTGAGCAGTTCCTATCAGTTGTGGGAATTCTGAATATCTAAGCCCCTACATGCCTACCAGGGGCTGACTATGCAAAAAGGCCTTAATAAAGATTGTCTTGGGCTTGTTCTGATAACTTAGCTACACATTAAACTTAAATTGTGTGTTTGTTTTTTAGCCACTTTGCTGAAGGACTTATTATGGACAGTATTTTAAAAGTGTTTTAGGGCTTGTGTGTTTTTGTTTTGTTTTTTATAGATAGAACATAGTAAAATAAGTAAATGAAGAAACCATTAGCCCTTTCCCAAAAGAGCTGCTTGGGAAGTTTCCTCTGTTGTACACTTATGTTGCTCTTAAGTAAATACTTTGTGCGCTTAAGTAGATCCTCTTTTTTTAATGTGTGACATAAGTAGTTTTGGGGGATATTTGAGACTGCTTATTACTTCCTTTATAGAAGAGTATTTGTCGTGTGTTAAATCTTGACCATTATCATTTAGAGTAATCCATAAGCTACTACCTTGAAAATTTTATTCCTTGAAAAATCCGTTTTCCCTTGCCCTTGAATACAAAAGACTTCTAAGTCCACATATATTCTTCTGAAGTGTAGTTTTGCATAGATCTTTTAATTTTCCATGGATGTATGGGACATGTTACAGCCATCATCTTCTGTTTCAATTCTCTTTTTTACCCACATAGCTTTTCCTGTTGACTGAAATATTTAAAATATTTATTGTTAAATAAT